TTTCTTTCTTTCTTTTTCTTTCTTTCTTTTTGTTTTTTGGTTTTTTTTGAGAGGTTTTTGCTATAGGGCACGTGCGCTCGCCAGACAGACAGAGAGAGACAGAGAGACAGAAAGCAAGAAATCACCCCCCAGGGGGGATGGCCATGCCGCAATCCCTTCTCCTCCATTCTCCTCTAGGTAGCTTGGGCATGCATGCACACGCGCCCGGTGTGAGTTTAAGCCACCGGGTCTGGGACTCGAACAGCATCGACTACATGGGAGTCCAGCGACATAGCCATTATGCTAACTGCTGGTTCCAGTATTCAGTAAGTATCTCTTAACTTAAAGAACAAAACAAAACAAAGGCGAGGAGCCAGCCAGTGCTGTAGTGGTTAAGGTGCTGGATCCCGCAGGGGTGACTGTGTGGTTCAAGAGCCGGGCCTGGCAGCTTGGAAACCACACTGGGCGTGTGGACGTGCCTCCATCCCAAAAGGAGGGAAAAAGGGAGAAGGGATCGCCATCCCCCATGGAGGGTCTTTTCTCACTTTTCCTCTCTCTCTCCTCTCACCAGTAAGTGAATGCTCCCTCTGGCAAAATTAAAAAACAAAACAAGAAGGAAAGAAATGAGTTGGTGCCAGATGGGGACACTCTGCGAGGCTGACCCATGCCGGAAGGCTCCAGGTTGCACCGGGGACCCCCGTGAGCAAGGAACATGCACACGTGCTCATCTCAGCTGGCTGAGGCTGGGGGTGGAGCCCCGTGTCAGGGCCCTGCTGGGGGTGCTGTCTCTGTTTCTCTTTGTCTCTCGCTCATCATCAAAGAAATAAACAAGGGACCCTGGCTGAGCTGGCCCTCCCTGTCCCCCTAGTCTCTGTGGGCGGGCGAGTCCCTCCAGGGCAGTCTTTCTCCAAGGGCTTCCCAGGGAGAGGCCCAGGCAGGGGAGGCGGGGCTGGTGGCTGGTATGGCTGCTCTGGGTGGGGAAGGGGCAGGCCTAGGACCCTGGGGTCTCCTGGGGGCAGGTGGTCGGTCAGGCGTACCTGGCGGGCGAGGGGCTCGGTCAGCGTCTCCCTGTAGGGGCTGAGCGGGCACTCGGTGTAGTGGCGTAGCAGGTCTTGCAGCCTGGCGTGGGCGCTGTCCTCGCCCAGCACCACGTGGCGCCCATCCCGGAGCTGGGCCAGCAGGAAGTGGCGGCAGCAGGTCAGGCTCCTGGAGGGCGGTTGGTCATCGGACCCTCTCCTATGGTGGGGCGACCCTCCTGCCGGGAAGGCCGAGCCAAGGGCCCAGCTCCTGTGGCTGGGCCCACC